GAGGCAGGCAGCCTCGCCCTCCACCTGTCCAGCCCCCCCCCCCCCCCCCACCAGTCTTCTTCCCACCCGCCCACCCACACTCCGCCCCACCTTCATGACGACACGCGAGCCGTACTCGGTAAAGGTCAGGCACCCCACCAGCACAAATGTGGTGTGCGAGGAGAAGAGGAGGTCGCCGCAGCCGTGCGTGGCCTGGCGCCCCACGTCCACCACCACATGCTGCCACCAGTGGCGCGGCCAGGCCAGCACGGCGGTGGCCTGGTCGGCGCGGCAGTGGTAGTTGGGCGCGGGGAGCTGGGTGACGGTGAAGGACAGGATGCGGAGCGCCTGGCAGGCAGTCAGCACCATGAGCAGGCGGGCGTAAAGGACGGCGGTGTAGAAGCGCTTGCGCGCGGTGACAAAGGGCGAGAAGGACCAGAGGACGAAGGGGATGAAGAGGCACCAGAAGATGGTCTCGCTCATCCACGCGCCCTTCAGGCCCACCTCCTGCGGTGGGTTTCCGGAATTCATGGTGTGTGGGGGGGGAAATGACGATGGTGCATGTGACTGTGTCTGAGACTGTTTGTGTTGATGTTTGTGTGTGATCGGCCCCGGCGTCAGCACCAACCAGCCTAGGCGACAGCGTATGAACAGCTGGCGGCTGCCGGGCTGGTCGAGCTTTGCCGCCATGCCGGGAGTGGCATGTGCCCTGGAGCCGCCACTTGTGATCGACGCCCACCAATGCCGAGGCCCCGATTGTGTCCATGGGCACCCCTGCATCGACATTCCACCCACAGCGCCTCCCCACACCAGCTGGGCTCACCGGCAGGTACTCAAAGCCGAGGTCGTGCAGGGGCTCCTGCTGCGGCCTGTGCATGCGGTGTGCCAGCTGCGTGGAGATGCCGTGAAAGTACTGGAAGAGGGCGCCAAACAGGATCTGCTTCCATCGCGCTTTCAAAAGGGGAAGCTGCGCAAGGTGGAAGGGTGGTGGGGATTTGGGAATTCAGGCAGGAGTACCCCTCTGGGCTGTCACCCCAGCCCGAGGTAATGTCATGGAACACCACGCACGAGCGACTCATTCAGCATTAGAGACCAGGACGAGGGAACGACACCCCCACCCCACCCCAAGCTCCTTCGGCAGGGACATGGCGAGGTGCCCATAACTCTCCAGCCCTTACCTCCACCGTGAATTCGAGCCTGATCCGGCGCCACCGTTCCTGTGCCCATTCCTGGCATCCCCGGCAATCCAGCACCGGGCGCCCCAGCATGCCTGGTCGGGAGTCAGCGCAACCGTGTCGAGCCCCCAGGCACCGTCGGACGAGGTGCGCTGGCCGGGCTTGCGGGAATATGCGGGCTACGAATCTGTTCGACTCCTGACTCGAGTGGGCTGTGCCGACACTGTGAGGGTGTTTACAGGGCCGACCTTGACAAGCAGGTTTCGAATCATTGCGCGCGCGAGGCAGGAGCACGGGCGGCGAGTCCCCATGGGGGAGGGGGGTGGGGCGTGCTCAGATGGGGGTGGCAGTGCCCGCCTTGGAGGCCAGAATGATACCGACTGCGGAGGGGGATGGATGATGATCTTGATCATGGTGCAAAACAACCACATTTGCACTTGCAGCTTATGCCAGCATCATTAGTATGCTCAGGACAGCTTCACTCACCAATCAGACCATACAGGGCAAGAGCCTCGGCGAAAATCAGGATCAGGATCATCCCCACGAAGAGCTTGGGCTGCTGCGCGTTCGCCCTGGGTACGAATAGAGTTGTGGTTGGGCTTTGATTCCTGGCAGAGGAGAGCAAGGAGGCATGGGAGCCCGTCCTCCACAATGAGGCAGGCTGCCAATCCATCGGCTCACCTCACACCAGCGTCGCCCACGATGCCAATGGCCATCCCAGCCCCTAGGCCAGCCAGACCGCAAGCCAGACCACCCGCAAAGTGCGCGTAGCCATCAAAGTAGTAGTATGCCTTGTCAGCGGTCTGGTTGACTGCATGGGTTGGGGTCAAGAGGCAGCGAATTGAGCACAAGGACAAATGCATGCTGCACACCGGAGCGCAACATGCTGCACCTCCGGCTCCACCGCCTGGCCTCCATGGAAAAACACTTACTTCCAGTACTGATGATCACGGCAATGATCAGGCCGTAGATGCCCAGCACACCCGCCATGACCACGGGGATAATAGACTTGATGACCAGGTCAGGCCGGAGCACTCCCATGGAGGCGATGCCCACCCCGGCCTTGGCGGTTCCGTAGGCCGCACCAAAGCCTGTGGCATGGAAAGACGGAAAAGGGATGAGGGTGGCCCCAGTCAACACGGACGAGCATCGAGCACGGGCACCGTCGAGAACCCGATCGACTCACAGGAGAAGGCCAGGGCTGAGGCAGCGCCCAGGTAGCCGAAGAGGGGAGCAACCTTTGTGGAGGAGGATGAATTTGAGGATCGTGCCAGCTCTTCCCCGGGAATCGCAGAAGGGTTTCCAGACTCCCAACCCCAGCGGAGGCGCGACCACACACCCGCACCAGGCCTGAGGGCCTGCTCACCTGGTCACCATTCCACTGTGTGGTGGTCTCGAGGAGCTGCCTGTGCACACCCTCCATCGCGTTTAGGTGAAGGCGGTTGGGGAACGGGTCGGGGAGGGGGATGCACCGACTGAACTGCTGGAGGTCAGCAACTCAGGCAGGTGTTTGGTCTCCGGAGAAGCTGTCGAGTTCCTTGCAGATCTTCTTTTCACGCAGGGGAGACAGTTCTTGAGGTGTAACCCCGGGAACCCATATGCCAGCACCCCTTCCTCACTCTGCCCCGGCCCTGTTGATGGGAATCGCCCCTCCTCCTTTCTCTGGGTCAATTTTTCGATCCGTCTCGGGGACCGGGGAGTCCCTGCTGGCGCCTGCTGTGCCATGAACATCAGGCGATTGGCCTCCCAGCACGCATGTAATCATCCGACTCATATCCTTAGGAGAGTCTGCGTAGCCTCCCCGCCCAGACGCCGCGCCAGGGGTTGGTGCAAGCGCCACCTGCAGGGCCCAAGGGTTATAACCAGTCAAGCGGCCGGACATCGCTGCAACACAGAAGCGAGCTTTGTGCGGTGAGGTGCGGTGTCAAGCGCGACTCTTTTTGTTCGAGGAATGAATTCCACCGACTCATGGGTGATTCTGTCCTACTGCAGTGTGGGCACAAAACTTGCGCTCCGGAAGGTGGGTCGGGGCAGCCATGCTCGCAGTCCTGGCTCGCCGCACCGGCGGCGCGCGATTCCCCCTCTCCAGCCTGAACCTTGTAGTACACAAAGCTCACCTCAGCGAGGTGAGCAGATGGGCCGCGTGGTGGTGTGGAGCTGGCGCCGCGGCCTGTCAGCTGGGGAGGGGCCTAGCCCCCCACTCCAGTGCTCGTGATAGCCACCCCCTGCCCATGCGCAGGCAGCGGCCCGCGAGGAGCGTGCCGCTGAGGTGGAGCCAGACCTCGCCCCTGTGATCGAGGAGGTGGCCGCAGCGAACAAGGCGGCGGTGGTGGCGCGGCGGGCCTTCCAGAGGAGCAGCACGATCGCGCCCACCAACCTGCCGTTCGATGACCCCAAGGTCGCCTTCAAGGTGTGTGTGATGTAATTTGTTCAGGGGGAGTTGTGGTGCCCTGTCTACATGCATTTCTGTGTGAGTGTGCTCTGTGTTGGGAGGGGTGAAGGGAGTGTGGCTGAGGTTTGGCTGTCACGCATCATCATGGGGACGGAGGCGCCAATGGTCTTCCAACACTTCCTGTGAATTCCTTTGGCGGGCAAGCTGCCGGCAAACGCCCCTTGGAACGTGTGATGGTGTGCTTGAACCTCACCCTGCTGATCTCCTACAACAACTGGCCCGCCATGCAGTCCAAGTCCAACCTGGACCTGATGCGATCGCTGGCCGTGTTCCAGATGTGCCGCCTGCGGCCCATCGTGGACAACGCCGACTCCATCCTGGCCTGGTCCAAGCGCATCTTTGGCTCCACGCTGGTGAACGCCGTGGTCCGGCAGACGTTCTACAAGCACTTTGTGGCAGGTGCGTGTGTGAGTTGGTGTGTGGGTGCAGGTGAGGAGTTGACGCCCATGTGAAGACTGGGGTTGTGAACCTCCTTCATAGGCCACTGCTGTCCAGCCCTGCTCGTTCTCGTATCGAGTGCCGCGCGCTGTGTGTCCCAATCATGGCTGCACCATGCATCCCCTTGCCCACTCCTCCCTCTCCAGGCAAAGACAAGGAGGAGATGCAGCCTACTCTGCAGTACCTCGCAAAGCATGGTATCGCGGCCATCCTCGACTACGCCGCAGAGGACGACTTGGAGGCCAGCGAGCAGGATGACCTGGCGGGGGAGAAAGGTGAGTGCGGGTGCCCTGGGTGGGGTCACTGGATGGGCCTTGGGAGTCTGATCCAGTGGTGGTGCTATGGAGGTGGGGAGGGGACAGGCCGGAAGTAGTGCCCATGACAGATGGATGCGGGCTCTGGCCCCGCACGGTGCATGGGCCATCAGCCACGCAACCAGGCACTCAGTCCTGCCCTGGTCGTCCCTTTCCCCGCCTCCAGGCCCCTCTTCCCCCACCATCCCCCTCCTCGTGCCCAGTGGTGGCGCGGGTGTACAACTACGAAGGCGAGGACCTGTGCGATCGGCGCATGGAGGTCTTCCTCAAGGCCATCGACGCCGCCAGCACCATGAACGGCCACGGGTTCGTGGCCATCAAGCTCACCGCGCTGGGGCTGCCGGAGCTGCTGGAGCGCGTGTCGAACGCGCTCACCGCCATCCGCGGCCTTTTCCAGCAATTTGACGACGACGGCAATGGGTCGGTGAGCATCGAGGAGTTCAAGCGCGTGTACAAGGAGTTTTTCATCGACGACGCCGACGACGTGCCCAAGGGGGTGCGTTATTTGGGGAGGGGGGTGCTGGGGTCCTGGAGAGGGGTGGGGGGCGGCCATGTGAGGGCGACCGGGTGGCGGGCCGGCCTTGGCGCGGCGCCCACAGCCATCGCCAGCCCCGGTGCATCGGTGGAATGGGCAGAAGAGGGGGTGGTGACATCGTGAGGTCCTGCTCGGGCCAGTTTCTCGCTGCCA